TGCACCACAGAGAGGCCACTGCAGGTGTTTGCAGCACCCGGCAGAAGTGGGGCAGGGGCAGGGCAGGTAGGCTGTGGAGTGGTGAGTAGGGAATACAATCCCCACACTTACTGAAAGCTGCCCCCAAAACAGACAACATGGCTCAAGGGGCAGCAGTCAAGGAGGATGTTAGCTCAGAGTTAGTTGTGTTGACACTGAAAACAGTAGCAGAAAAGCAGCCAGAAACATGAGATTCGGCACAGCCTCAGTACACAGAAATGTGTCTGAGTGCCAAGAAGCTAGCCAGTCATGCAACATGGGATCTGCTTGCAGACTCCTTATTACACATGATGAAAGACAAGCAGAAGGGAGCTTTGACTCTCAAAGTTTTCACTGACTGTGTTTATGGAGGTAGAAAATATCAGTACATGCAAACAGAGCCCTCTTGATCCAAGCTGCATTGGTAAACTGTAAGCAGTGAGCCCAATTTTCAGGAAAAAGCTTTTGATGCAATTACTCAGACCTATTCTTGAAAATTAACAGGTTCATGGGATTTTTTTTTTTACGAGTTGGCTAACCTTATATTCTTGGATGTTAGGTAACCATTTGCATCAATAAGTCATTACTTTTTTCCCTTTGGAGGAGGCAATCAGGTGGATTTCTGATATTGAGACAGACATGGCTGTAGGGCACATGCAGAGTCATTCTCCATCTCACACAAAAAGAATCCCATCGATCTTGGACACACTGGGGCAGCTGTGCACAAAAGGCAGGGTCAGTCAGCACACCCATACAAAGGGCAGTGTTCAGGGACATACCAAAGGACATGCACAACATGCACACATCACTGGAAGAGCACAAAAACAAGGCACGTCAGACCTACAGGTTTTGGCCTTGTCAGTGTCAGCAAGTCCGATTTTTCACCTCAGGCCAGTACTGTCTATTATCTTTCTGTCTAATGGCAGGAGTTGCCAGCAAATGAGATATTCACTGCTCATTCTTCTCCCTTGCAGCTCTCGGAAAGGAAGCGGACGGCAGGAGAAATGAGGTTCACAACTTCTTTTAACCAGGCTGTTGCCCAGCCATGCACAAGGCCCTGAACAATCCCCTTGGGCACAAGCAAATTATTTACATTATACAAGTGTTCTTCTAGATGCCGGGGGGAGGAGGGTGTGGGGTGGAGGCGGGGGGTAGAAATTCTTTTTACTCTATTTCTCCTTGCAGTAAAATAGGAGAAATATCCCAACTTCGCAAATCCTGAACCCAGGCCCCTTCCTGCAGCAGCAGTTCCGGGAAGTGCCCACACGGTGGCGATGCCCCTTTAGAAATGGAGCAAAGCCCACGGGAGACAGCGCAGGGACAGCGAGGGACACGCGAACCCTGGAGCAGTTCTGCCGGGACATGGGACGGACAAGCAGGCTCGAGCTGTGACTCTGCCGACGATCTGCCGTGTGGCATTTGCTTAATGAGCTCTCGTCTGTATTAGCTGTCAGCTTTGGGGAGGTTCTGCAGGGTGACCCTCTGTGCTTGTGTTGCAGGGTCTCTCTCAGGACCACAGCGTGTCGGACTCTGCCCTGTTAAATTTTCACTACGTTTAGGGATGGATATTCCACCACCTCTCTGGGCTGATGTTTACCCACCCTCACAGTGATTTTTTTTTTCCCCCTTTTATTGCTCAGTAATTCCATCTTACAACTTGCAACCCCTGCCTCTTGTGTTTTGCTATGCAAAAACTCTGATAAGAGGCTGGCTCTGTCTTCTCTGTATCATCCTCAGCCATAGTCAAGTGCTGAGTCCCAGCAAGCTCCTCATGCAGAGATCAGGGCCTGGCCCATCAATTCTAGAGCTTCACTGATGTAAAACTCCTGTTAGTGGCCAGGGTCAGGATGTCAGTCTCTTCTCTTCACAGAGCTCCCACCTGAAGAACTGCATTTCTCATTCAGCTTTTCTTTGTAAATAAATCACTTCTTAGACACAGGGCTTCAAAATGATTATTAACAACATGCTCTTGCCCTTGTACTCCAGCATTGTGGGTGGCTTCAGCTGGGTTTTTGATGTATGCAGACAAGAGGCTCATGGGGCTACACACTGCAAACACTAACCACCCTCTCTGACAGCAAGAGAGGTCATCATTATCAGCCAGTCCTTGTTCCTAGTCATGGAGGTGTTTCCAGTTCAAAAAGTTCAGTGTTGGGGTGGTTTTTTTTGATCTGTGACAGTGAGTTGGGTTTGGCAGCCTGGTAATTGCTCAGAGGTCAGCAGCGGCTGGAAGAGATGACACATAATGCAACAAGGCAACCACACACTTCTGGGAAATCAAAGCATTCTTCCAGTGATGGTGCTGTCTTGATGGAGGCAGAAAAACACCCAACTAGTACCCACACACACATCCTAGAGGAGAAAAACGCGGGATCCTGCCACACACATGGAGCGCAGTGGTTTTCATATGGCTGTGCTGACTGACTCCCACATCACTGCTTCCACAGGTCACCGCGGGTCTGCCAGCAGTAGGGGTGATTGTGCCAACCAGTTTTATCGAATCACAGAATAAATGAGGTTGGAAAAGACCCCTGAGATCATCGAGTCCAATCTATGAGTCAATACCACCACGGCACTTAGTGCCATTTCCAGTCTTTCTTTGAATACTCTCGGGGATGGTGACTCCACCACCTCTCTTGGCAGTCAGTCCATTCCAAAGTCTAATCACCTTTTCTGTGAAGAAATTCCTCCTAATGTCCAACCTAAACCTCCCCTGGCACAGCTTGAGGCTGATTGCCTGTGAGAAGAGGCTGAGGTAGTTGGCTACAATCTCCTTTCAGGTAGTTGTAGAGAGTGATGAGGTCACCCCTGAGTCTCCTTTTCCCCAGCCTAAACAACCCCAGCTCCCTCAGCCACTCCTCATAAGGCTGCTCCAGAAGGGTCTGTGCTCCAGACCCTTCACCAGCATTGCCCTTCTCTGGACACACTCCAGCACCTCAACATCTTTCTTGAATTGAGGAGCCCAGGACTGCACCCAAGATTCAAGGTGTG